GTGTGTGTGTGTGTGTGTGTGTGTGTGTGCTCAGTCATGGGGCCTGAACTCAGGGCCTGAGCACTAACCTTGAGCTTTTTCTGCTCAAGGCTAGCAATATACCACTTGGAACCACAGCTCCACTTCCGGTTTTCTGGCGGGTTGATTGGAGATAAGAGTTTCACAGACTTTCCTGCCCAGGCTGGCTTTGAACTGCGATCTCAGCCAGGATTGCAGGTACAAGCCACCAGTGTCCAGCGTACATTTTGTTCTATTGAAGCCTTTGCAAGACTTTCTACCTGGCTGGGATCAAGCTATATAAGGTCAGGCCTTGTCTTGTTTACAGACTATCAAAGCATTTTCTAATGCTCACTTTAGCACAGTGTAATATTCCATCATCGAAAATACATGCCATCTTCTTACTCTTCATTCAATAATCAGGTAATCTTTATCTAATATCTGGTCTTTCTTTCATAAATACTGACCCTTCTGCATGTAAATCTGAGAACTTCCGGCTATTCTTTCGGGCACTCTCCTGGAAATAGAATGTCCAGATTTCTACTTACATTCTTGAAATCTCCAGATTGCCCTGCGAAAGGCTTCATTGCCTCCTTTTTCCCACTTTAATGCGTCCTCCTGGCCTGCTTGTCCAGCAGTGGCTGGACAGCTCCCTGGCTCACAGGCGCATAAACACCTCTATGTAATAAGCGACAGCATCTCAGAGCGGACCCGGGATGGGCGCTCCAGATGGCTGCTGACCTCCAGCATCAGCCTGTCACTCACTCACCACACCTTTCTCCTGGCTGTACAATTTCACTACTGACAAATTCCTTGCACTGTGCCTCTTTGCCCTGGTGAGAGACGTGAGGACAGTGTCAAGCCCGGCTCAGAACTTCCAGAAGTCTCTGACTCCGTGTGATCCAAATTTCCTGCCCCTCATTTTTGTCCTGCGGTCCGCCAGTGAGGTAGATCCTCTCCCCTTCGCCATCCCTGTGAGTGGGGTGTGCGCTGGGGGAGGGGGTTCCAGCACTTTCTCTCCTCGGGGCCCGCTCTAAGGGAATGTGGGCTGGAGGATGAGGGGCCCTCCCCCAACTCTGGGTACGCAACAGTCATCCGCACCTGCAGACAGGTAGCCGTGTGGGTGCCGGGCAAACAGTCTGCAGGTGCGCAGGGCTGTTTGCTCAGGCCCGGAGCTGAGCGCAGCAGGCACAGAGGCTATTTTTATTCTCAGGCCACACTGAGGCCCCTTCACCAAGGTCACCGATCTCCAGAGCCTGCACCTCCAGCATCAACAGCACGGTCAGCACATCTGCAGCCGGCCAGCCCTGTGCCTTCCACCCATGTCCTCCCAGGAGGGAAACCACGGAGAGACCACCGCCCAGAGGGCGGACTAGTGATGTCGGAGTCTTATTTGCAATAAATAAACACTAGATGGCACTACATCCTCAACATTGAACCATGCCTGAAGTGTCGCTTATGCCAGGCTTGGGGGTGGAGGACTTTCTGGATCATCTCCAATTGGTATGAGATGTTCCACTAAAACAAACAAAAAACCCACTATATTCAGATGAGGGCAAAATATAAAATCACCATCACCCAGCTTTCAACAATTTGTAACCAAAGCTAATCTTTTCTCATCTGTACTTCTACCCACTTTCCCCCCATCTTTCACTATCAAAGAAAATCTGAGATAGTCTGTCGTTTTTCTCATGGGTCTCAGTGTGGTTCTCCAACAGGTAAGATTTGTACTCTTCTGCCATGACAGAGAAGCAGACCAGCTGCTTCCCTCTGTTCCTCTCTGGGGAAGGAAGGGCCCCTTCTCTCCATACTGATGGTTTCCGAGGATGGAATCTTGTCAAGGGCCCCAGCCGATTTTGGCCGTGTTCTCTGCTCAGCTTCTCTCGCCTTGAGAAACACACAGAAGTTTCACCTGCAACTCCCACAGGCCGGCCGGCC